TAAATTAATATCTTGCAACGTGAGGAAAAAACGCCAAAAGACGCGGGTATCTCTATTCGCTAAACAAACGACAAGTTAGAAAACACATTTGTAAGCTATTCTTACGTTTAAGCGGTAAATATTTTGCTTGTCAAACAGTAAACTTGATGGAATTATTTTCACCAAACCAAGAGTAACATCAATTACGAGGCTGCAACTAGGAAATTTCACATCAATTGTTGGTACTGTGTATAAATTTTATGGATATTTGTTTGATAACACCCCGTCCCCTACCCCTCCCCCTCCCCTTCCGATTTTAAAAGTTACAGAACATTTTCACACCATATGGTAATACATGACATGTTTGTCATTCAGATAGAAATACGCAGTACGATCCTATACAGAATTCACTCTCCTGTTAGGAGTAAAATTCCGATCCAAGTTAGCTAGCACTCAACATCCCCCTAGTGCTCTGAAGGTTCGCAGCCACGCTAACGAGCACAGCAAACAGTTACAAAACATCATAAAAAAACGTAACAAAAAATCAATCTAAAATTAGTTGCAAATAAGACTTCAAGGTAAATATGCTAAAAGCCGGTTAGCCAAAATTAACAAGATACTGCTGGACTCGGCCGACAATTAAAAAAACGCTTTATATGTGCTTGCTTAAGGCAATCAATGTACAAAGTTCGCAAATACTTCATGCGGGCTGCAATGACACAGTTTTTTTTGCAATTAGAAGTTTCCATATACATATGTACATATCTTTTATCAGCATTCCAAGGCTTCTTTTGTTTTTGGTAGTAAGTGCAATATTGTTATTATATCTGATCAGCTCCACATTTACTTTTCTGGTTCATCTTATATAATGAAATAGAATAATATTTTAGGATGGCGTTAGCCAGAAGCCATATTTATTTGGCTGCTTAATTTCTATGACGTATAAAATGATTAATGATTTCGTTTTTTCAATGTTTTTAGTAATTATTTTAAACCAGATAAGCGAAAATTGACCAAATTGATGACGATTAACTTGATTTTGATGCCTAAGTAATTCAAAATTATAGGTAAACTCTCAGTAGAAGATAGAAGAAGCTCTTCTCTTCTCGATGCGAGAGCGGGCAACCTTTGCTTCCAGTCATATGAATTTCTGTAGCACCCAAACAAAGTTCCTTTAGAATATCTTGAAATATCCTATCCTTCTTGTCATTCCACGCTGACAAAACCTATTTCGCTGTTAACGTGACTTATTGGTCTTGCTTTAAATACATAATAAAATGGACGATAAGAAATCTTATTCATAAAATAATGGTCTGCCTATTCTCTGTGTCTTACGATAAAGCAGTCAGCAACTCAGCTAATAATTGCAAAAATAAACGGTTGTATTATAAAGAGTTTATTCAACTTCAGAAAGTTCTTGCTCTGAAAAGGCTTTAAATAGAAACGTTTTAAAATTAGATGTAACACCTCAAATACAGAAGGCAATAACAACTGTCAAAAAAGGAAAAACAACCATGTGTGTTCACTGAGAAGAACGAGCAAATGATAAATAACATTCAAAAATATGCAAATATAATTTGTCTAAATGCATCTGAGAGCAGATAATTATATAAAATGTTAATGCCCTCTACGACGAATTTGGTTTCAGGAACACGTGTAAGTAAACAATGTCGAATGCTTTATTAGAACCATTCTGCTTAGCTGACTTGCTTTCATAGCAAATTCTCTATACATTTACTATTCTGGGTAGTAGTGCAGAGAATTCTTGTGAAATACATTTCTACTACGAGAGGCCCTTGTACCGGACCATATCTCAAATATATACACCGATAAAATAGAAGAGTCTCGAACATACAATCTACGTAAAAACCGCAAACAAAGATGGGTAAAAATAAAGAAAACAGACTAAGTTACTTAAAAAGGGTCTCCCAAAGTAACACCCAAACAGCTTTAGAAAATTATAAAATATGCACAAGCATCGATTAAAAATTAAATATAATTAAAAGTACAGATTTAAGAAGTACCTTTCTAACATTCTTACGTAATTATTTACATTTTCAATACAGTTAAAATTATTAATAATAAATAATATGAAATCTATCACAGCACACATGAACTTTTGCACTGCAGAGATAGTTGGGAATTCTACTCAAATATTGATAGAATCCACTACCAGGAATCTCATAACCGTTATTACTGACAAACTTACTTTGAATTGTCTTTTATTGAGATTTTGAATATCTTTCTACTGCAATATTGCTACTATAGCAAACTTCTACTATACAAAACTAGGCCCTCACTTACGTCTGATTCCTAATTGGTCTATTTTCAAAATTTTCGCAGTGGAGGCAAGTGAGACAAACGCCCGACTTTGACGCATAAGTGTATTTGATATACGTGCGCAGTTTAACTTTGAAAACGGGCTTAGCCTGCCGATAATCAAGTTTCGTCGATACCTTAGTAAAATTAAAACTTAAAAAATTATTTAACATTTTAAATCAATATTACCAACAACTTTAAAAAGATTTCAAATATTGATACAAAATTTGTCGATTATTAAATAATCCGAAAATATTTACCCTAATAATAAACTTAGCTTTATTAAATCAAAAGAAGTAAAATGTAGAATTCTATGTTAAATTTTGTGATCGAATACCAAAAATCCAAGTCTAATTTCCATAAAAAGCATGCTTTCCACATGAGTCCTGATGTATTGTATCGTGTTCAAATAATAGACGACGTGATGTAAATTTTCTGCGATTAATTTATATGTCAAATATCTATTATGGACCAATTTACATCATAAAATATTCAAAATAAGACTGTTTTACATTTCACAGTGCGGGGTACAAAAAATCGACCTGGTGTAATATCATTTTTATGTCAAATTGCAATAACGGAAAAATTTTTATCGTTAACTATTAAAAATTTTTGGCATATAAGAACTTCCTAAGGTTTTCAAAAATTGACATCTCATCCACATTATTCACATCAACTTAATATGTGGAACTGCTGCTATTTATATTTTTATTGAGAAATTTTGAAAATTCAATTTTTTTTCGTACAATATTTTCAAAATAGGGCGTTACATTGGAAATGCTCGCAAAAGTGTCCCGACCACATCCGTGTTCAATAGAGTTCGTACTTAGCCTAGAATGTCAATATTCCATATTTGGTCCAAGCGCCTCAAAAATTGTGGCCTGTAGATCTGAACAAAGAAATTCATGAACAGAGAGACACAAAAAATTAAATCGATCCAAAAAATGATTCTAACGATTGTAACAAAAAATGGATATTTGTTAAGTGTCTCTAAGTATTATATAAATCCACAGAAAATTAATGTATTTTGTACAACAAGTAATTTGGGTGTAAATATCATTTTATATAAGCACGTGTTAAGGGGATAAAACGTACACAGAAATTTTGATTCGATAGGGACTTAATATTTTTCGAATTATTTACTCAATTTATATATTGAGCTCGTTTTAATGTATGCAACAAAAACACTCTACCTTACCTAATAAACAAGCGTGCAATTACTGTTTTTATATATTTGTTAGAGACTCGCTTTAAGCTGAATTTAAGTCTTAAACCTCTTTTTGAGGTTTTTAAGATTTACGTTGAAAACATTGAAAAAAGTTACATTCCTCTACCTCTAATATATTAAAATTATAAAAATAAAAAAGTATCTCAATAACAGTGGAAGTGTATGACCTTTTATATGCCCAATGGGAAAATTTGTAAAAAGCAGTGTTGTAATTGGATATCTCTCATATATATGCGTATCATGGACTTGTTTGCCTGCTGATCTAGCGTCAGTTTTCAATGGGTTAATGTTTGTTGGAAATTTTGTATGGATATCTTTTTGGAATTGCAAGTCACCGTTTGCCGTCTATTGTGTGTTGGATATCCTGGACAGCGTAAGCTTCTTAGTCAATTTTGTCTCTGCGTGCGTCCGTCAAGAGACCGCTTGCTGTAACAAAATTTGCGATAAAAAGGGAAAGCAATTTGAAAATGAGTGTGGCTCACTTGTAAGCAAACTCACTCACGGTTTGGTTAATATATTTACAGCAGATATTAATTTAAAATTCTTTATCATTTACAGAACCGTCATAGTTGAAAAAACTGTTTATAAATCTTTATGTATTGGCTTTTCTTTTATCTAAAAGTATAATAAATGTGAGAATTTTTTGACATAAATATTTAACAATTTTGCTAAAGCATATATAATAGTTCTTCTTGCTGTACTTAAGAAGTCATTACATTGCAAGGATACTGAAATTTATCTTTTCCAGACGAAAGTATTTGTTTATGAGAGAACTCGGTTAATTCACAATTAATTCTAAAAATTAAAAATCGTAATTGCAAGAAAAATTATTCAATTTTATGAAATATTCGTTTTTAAAATGTTTATGTCTGATTATGTAATTTACTCGCATAGGCCACCAAAATGTGTGAAAGAAAAATTAAAAACATTCTGACGCAAGCCTTCAAGTCACGCGATAAGAAAAGTAAACTATTTGGAGAACGGAGGCAATTTTAGAAAAGTAGAAGAGAAAAGATAAATGTTCGCCAGATAACATTTTTAATTTATTAGAAGAAATCTGTTAAGAACAATCCCTTGCTATAAAATAAGCGAGTTCGTAAAAGTTTTAGCTTATAATTAGAAAGAGAAAATATTTTTAATAAACTTAAGAATTTTGTTACGATAACACTTGATAGATAATCGCTTTAAGAAAAAACGTTAGAAAAAATTATTTGGTACATCTTATGAAGTAGAACGACTTATAGAAGGTTAACCTTTAATTTCAAGATATTTAACCATGATAAGGGCTATTTATTTGATTAAAATAAAATGAAGTAAAACATTGGTAAGAAACTTCGTGCATCACTAAGAAAACAACAACCACCATCGACAACTAATTGTATTTTCTGTGTTTGTCTCACTTTCTTCGAATATCTCTTTGCAGCACTGGATTTACTAAAATTAAACTTTTCTTTATTTTATAATTATGTCTTACCTGAACTTCGGGCATTTTACGTGTAGTAGAAATACGATAAATCGACATGTTGTAATATTGCAGACTTTTTTATTTACTTATATTTTAAATTCTATTAGAATAGAAGAAAAAAAGAGAAGAAAAATTCAGTTACAACAAATCTTACACTATGCGCCTTTCTTTTTGCTTAGACATTAGATATTAACAATTTTAATGATTATTAATTATTACCAGTGTTTGGTTTTTGTTTTGGTTTTTTTCGATTTAAAATTTATTATAATAAGGACTGAAGAAGATAAATATTTTTTTAGGGTTTTACAGACAAGTGTTAAATGTTAAATGTTGTGTGTAGTAAAAATAAGAGGAGTTTTGTTAAATATAATACACACACGCGCACACTCTCAAAAAAATACACGAACGAGAAGCAAGTGCAAATCCTTATCGTTCAAAGAGAAAAAAGCAACTGAAAAAATCTAGAAAATGTTTAGATTTATAAGCAATTGTTAAAAAGTGGAGAAAGAAAATGCGCCAAGAACCCTGTGTGCAGTAATAACAAAACAACCGAACAAAATGTAGGCGCAATACTAAACAAAAAATCTGTTCTAAAGAGTTCGAAATTAAACAGCTACTAAGTACAGTGAATCCTTCATTCACACGATGAGAACGTGCATACGCAATTTCCTATCCTTTCTTTTATATGTCCTAAATTAATTGGCTATAATTAAGAGTACAATAATTGTGTAATATTCTCATAATTAAATTAATTATTAATGATGTTTTTGCCGCGTTTTATATAGTATTCGCAGTAGAAATGCAATTCATTTCATTCAGAATTGCTGCAATTCTGTACAGCTGCGTAAATGATGCCAAGTTTTCGCTTTACAGATAAAAGAAATCGTAAATAAAAAACATATGTTTGTTTGAATGTTTTACGAAAATGAAGCTAAGTTACAAGTGCTGATACTGTATGCATTCTACATTGTTTTTGTCGAATTCTTTATCTAAATTTCATATAGAATACGACTAAATCACTGCGATTACAGTGTTTAAAAAAGTTATATACACTAACTCACAAACGAACATATGAATATATAAGATTTGCAAAAAATTTTCTAGTATTATAGGCGTGGTTAATCATGCGATTAAATCGAAGCGACTATGGCCACAGTTATTTGATTACGCCCGTTTTGAAAATCGAGCTGCGAAATGCTACGTGTACCTGCTCCACGTTTGAGCTTTCTATTTTAATTTTTATCACAATAAACGTTTCAATAAGAAGCAATAAGGGCTGATTCTTTCTCTGATTACAATTATGTATAATTAATGAAATCTCTGAAGGATATTTGTAGACGCATATTATAAACAGATGGAGGGCTTAATATTCCTTTACTCCTAGAGAAATGTGTGTCTGAATTTATATTCTTAAATAATGCAAAAAACTGATCACGGGATCACGGAACGTTATTTATTTCAGACAAATTATTAAGGTGGAAAAAATTTTTCAACCATCTGCTAATAAACTGACAAATAAATCCCAAGTAAGCAGAATGAGAAGCTGCTTTACCATACAATTTGATAAGAAAAAGTGAACACACCAATATAAATTTAAACGAAAACATATGGATTGAGAACCAAAAATAGGGAAACCAACATAAATGTGAAGAACGATTGTATGAAGGACAATAACAAAAAAATTAATGTGAAAGAAAATAATCTTTCTAATTACTTAAGGAAATAAAAACCTTAAAAAAAAAAAAAGAGTTTAAAAGAAGGAACATGGACGTAGACTTCACAAGTAAATAAATTACTTCCACAATTTGAAATAAACCGTCTTCATTTCTTTTCTGCATTTATTTTGTGGTTTATTTATTTGTACACATAGAAAGTCGTGTTAGCGCTGATACAATGATGCGTTATTCCTGTTCTCGGGATGAGACTTCAACTTTGCAGACTTTTTACGAGATTTTGTGGTATTTCGCAAATTAAACGTATGAATTCTGACAGTAAAGTAAGAAGAAAAAAAAACCAAAACGAATGAAGTTATTTATCCAATTTATGTTTACTTCGTACTAATTCAGATTATTTCTATATTATATTATTTGCAATTTTGGTTTATTCTATATCTTATTTGACAAGAATTGAAAAACAAGCAATAAATACCATGAATCGTAAATTTAAAATAAATGAATTGCATTGTTTTATTGGAGAGTAGTAAAAGATAATTTCCAAATTATGGAACAATTAATATAAAAAAAACGCCCGATGGTGTCCTAAAATTTAAGCAGATTGGACACATCTACAACATTTCTCGAATTGCAAAAATTCAGGTTAATCAATAAAATTCAAGACTAAGAACGCCCACAAAACAATTTCTATAAATCCAAATTTCAGGCAATGTTTCGCGAAATGGTTTTACCAGATATGTTTTTATTCCTCTTAATTTTTGATGTAATCAATCTTCTTTATCCCTATAAAAGGTTACTTACTTTTACGTTGACCTGTTTGTTGTTGCTTTCTATATATTTGTTGTATATACATATATATATATTTACGCGCATTTCTTTATTTTTGGTTCTAAATCCACATTTTTTAATCCAAATTTACAAGCAACGCATCATTGTGTCAGACTGCTATATCTGTTGGCGTGATAAAGTTTCGCCCTGTTTGGAAAGCAATATAAGCGAAGACAATGAAGCCGCTCATCCTGAAAGATTGGTCAACTTTTTACGAACCTATGTGAGGATTGGCAACGTGTAGTATGCGTACACACAAATAAAATAAGAAAAAAAAAGATAAAGTAAAAAATAAAAACAAATTATTTCAAATTTAAGAGCTAGTTACCTAATTTTATATTTCATACTAAAGTTCGATTCAATTTTTATCATTTATTTACATACTTCCGCTAAAACAACTCTTTTACTTTGTTTAACTCCGCTAACAAAGCCAAAAAAGTGAGCTTTTTCGTACTTTCTTTTTTTTATTTCTTTTTTCTTTACTCAATCGCAACATAATCCCTCGCTTTCACACCAATTTTGCTACCGTGACGTTGATTCATTATGTTTTATTGCTCGGACAATATGATTGTTTACGTATACATAGATTTGTTTACTTCTTATAAAATGACATTGCAGGACAGGCAAGTGCGATTTTTGTGATGTCTATTCTTGCTTACTTAATTTGTGACAATATAACCGAAGCTTCAGGCTATGAAATTGTGTAAGAATTGTCAAATCATAAACTGCAAACACAATATACTTTTAATCAACACACTGAATCATCTGTGGTTGTATTTTGTATTTGCTACTTGTTTCTCATACCTTATAAAATATTATGGAGAGTAAATCAAAGTTTCTAATCGAAAGAAAACTTAAATTAATAAAGCGAAACAGAAATTGGAAAAACAATTTCTAAATTTAAAATAAATTGTTTTATTTTTTCTTTTTTTATTTGTGTGTATACATACAAAATTATATGCGGGGTAATCACATAGCTGAAAGTTAGCTCTCGCTTTCACTTTCAGCCGTTTTTGCCAAATAGTTGAATATTTAATATGATTTTTCATATGTGATTGAAGTCCCCTTTCGTCAGCCTCTTAACACTTCGCTCATACTCCCAGGCCTGTGGAGAGAGTTAATTTATAAATATTTCGAAAAATGGGAAATAAATCTAATTTATGAATGTTTGTATACAAATGTAAATAAATGATTGTTTTCATATATATATATATATATATTTATACCTTATAAATCCATAAAATTTGTAAAATTTTGAAATTAAATGTCTTCATAGATTTTCAAGTTGAAACTGAAACTTTGCCGACTTTTTCTAAATTTTATGTGAATTTACCGATCATACGATTTTATAAACAAAACGAAAAGAAAAAAGGCACAAAACGATATTATATACAATTGTTTCTTTTACATTTTAAGGTTATATGTCTAATTTATGTTTACCTTACACTTATGTGCATTTTTTTTGTATTATATGACATGCAATTTAGGCTTATACCATGCATTATTTTGTAAGAGAAGAAAAACAAGCAATAAAGACCGTTTATTTTAAAGTTAAAACTGTTTAACTTTAAGATAAGTTTTCAGACAGATGAAAGTTAACCGGGGAATCTAAAATAGATCAAGAAACTTGAGAAAATGGAATACAAATTTAAAAACAGTAGTTGCGAATTTAAGGCTATGATGAGCATTTGTTTCCACTACTGTTGGGTTTGTGTTCAAAATCATATATATATGCACACACTCCTTTCCCGCAGACACTTAAATTGATATATTATGGATATTGGGAAATTAATTTACAACATTCCTAGCAGACAGATCCAAATTTAAGGCGTTAATATAAGGTAATTTTGCTCGCACTTCAAATCCTAAAAGCTTTTTTCTCAAAATATTGTTTTCAAAATCGTTAGAAATGAATACACCGGTCTTATTGAGACTTTACACTTTTCCTAGATAGGATTAACAAGTCTTTGAACAAAAATATCTCTTCCCGTTAATCACAATGCAAGACAGCAGGTGACGTAGCTATCTCCGAAAATTGTACATGTGTACTTACAACTCTGCTAAATATTCAAATTCGAGTTTTATTTCCATTTTTCGTTTAAGCGCGACCAATACTCGTCTACTAACAGAAACTATTGGTTGTTATGTTTAAAAGTTCGAATAAAATAACTCGTTCATTATAATAACAAAGAATTAAAATAAAAATATTCTTTTTTTGTTCTTTGAAACCAATGAAATCCTTTAAATCCAGTATAGCCACACATTCAACCTGCATTTACCTTTCGTCAAAGAACAACAGCAACGGCCCAGTAGCCTTAAGTATATAACATATTTTCGAATGAAAAAATTAAGGGTATTTTTAAATTGGCGGTGTCTCACGCTTTAACATTCATATTACGAATTATTAACAATAATTCGATTTTTTCACGTTCTAGTACTAATAACTTGTGAAAATAAGCTTACTAAAAAACTTTGGAAGTTTTTTTAACTTCTACGTATTCTTAATAGCCCAAATTTTGCGTTAGCTTTGTTTGTTCAGTGTTGCATTTATAAGGAAAAACAGCTGTAAATGGGAAATAAAATAAATTCCAAACAAATTTTGCACCTCCAAATAAACCAAACCAAAAAGTTTTTAAGTTAATTGAAATGTAAGTACATTAAATCTATTTCCTCACTTTTTACTCTAATTGTCTAATTAATACTCCACATCTTGTAACCAATCTTGTAATATCAATCTTACCATACGTCATCTTATACTTT